GATAAATAGGCCATGCCTAATAATAACGCTCATAAATCACTTTTAAATTTTCAATATTTTTTTTTTCACAAAATACCTAATTATGGCTTATGTAGAAGAAATAGACATATGGTATCGTGGACTTTTTTTTAGATGGAGTAAAGATCTATATTTTTCTAGAACATTGTATTTACGTATCCCTAACGATAACACCAGCGTACGCGGATAAATCATTTCGGGAGTGCTTTTTCTTCTGACTTGCTTAACAAATATCCATATTTAAGGCTAGCTGAGTGATAAAGCTTAATGCTAGATAGCCTATACTATTCCACATGAATCTGGCTATAATATACAAAAAGAATTTTTCAAATCGGACTGATAGTTCCAGAGATTAGCGCGTTTAAACAAACAAAAAAACTCTTCCGCTTTATTATATTATAGTATAGAACATATATGAATATGAACAACGTGGTTTGCAACAAATGTCTGCCACTTGTGTGGTGAAATTTTTATCCAGTACTACCTTTAAATCTAAAAACGCATAGACTGATATTGCGAGGCTAAAAGGGTAATTGTGGAGGACTCTTTGAAGCAATTTTGAAAGTAAAACCACTCCACAGAGCTCAAGGCGTGCAATAGATAGTGGATTTGTTGGTGCGAATTTAGTCTTTGCACAAGTCAACTGGACGGAGTTACCGTTGGCGCTCTTTACATGTATGTAAACTATGGCACCGTATGCGTGCTTCCTGGCATCGGAAAAACCCAGAAGCGATGGAGGTATGGTTTTAATACACCAACATGTGGCGGGACACATAAATTATTAAGAGCTGGTAATTCAGCACAGAATTCCTTCCACATCTTAACAATGTGCAGTGGCGGTATCTCGTCCCAGTCGAAACGAGGTTAAAGATTTGTACCAAGTATTTTATTAGATGTACAAATTAAATTTTCAACTGGCGTTACCACGTATAAAGAAGCTCAAAGTCGCTAAGGGATCTAGGGCGAGGGCCATGTTCACAGTTTCTCTGTGTGGCAGAAATCGTAATAAATATATACGCTAGTAGAACCGGGGTAACCGACATAGGCCAATGAATCAGTAAGTTGAACTTAAAATGGTTCCACCATAAAGCCCGCCATAATGAAGCAGTGTTTTGTATAGTGAGTAGAGAAAACAGGACATTATATTTACTGGAAATGAGTCATCCCATCTTAGTCCTTAATTGAAACAGAAACAGCCACAGAAACTGTTTTATTCAATATAGATTAAAAATTAATACTCCAAGAAAGTCGCTCCTTGGTTTAATTACCAATGGTTCGAAAAAAAAAACTCTGTCCTGGGAAGAACCAGCAAGAAACCCAGCAGGACGTTTTTCTTAAATGACAGTTTACAATCATGTATGATACACAAATTAACAACACAACAAATAAGAAAAAGCTTGGTAGCGATCATCTCATTTCCAGAGGTTATTATCATCTATAATTTTTTTAATATTTTAATAACCCTTTTTATACAAACTTAGTGTAACAGAGTTTATAAACTTTGAACAGGTCAAATTTTGTACATTTTCTGGAATTTTGTTCTAAAAGCGTACACATCGCCCCAAGAATGAACTACTGACCCGATGGAGTCGAGTAACTGGTACTATTAACTTTTGCCTGTTCCTAGTATTTACAGAATGAATATCACTTAGTTGTGTAAAACTACTTTTATTTTTGTGTACGTACATTACATTTTCATAAATGTATTGATAGGCCAAAGTTAATCGCGTGGAGCCTGGGACCGCGGAGACCAGTAAGTTCTTCCGCAAGCGGTCCAGGCGGGATGGCGACCAGGGGTCGTCAGCCGGAGAAGAGGAGACTTCGGCCCGGAAAATCCCCACCAACAGGCGGGGCGGGCTGAGAGGCAAGGGGAGGGGGCCCTCTGACAATCAGAGGGCCGAACAAGCGGCAAAGCATGCCGAGGAGGGGCGCCACCCGGGCGATACGGCTCGGGTATCAGGCGAAGAGACGGATGCGACTGGCGGCTCCGAGGTGGAGCGTAAGGCCAGATTCGTAAAGGAGGTGGAGGCCGCGATCAAGGTCGTGGCCCACAAGCAAAAGGCCTCCTCAAAGTTAAAGGCCATTCCCGCGGCCTCCGCCTCCATCATGGCGGCTGCGGAGGCCAACTTTGTTGGGGCCGAGCTTAATGTAAACGAGGTAGCGGAGCTGCGGGCGGAAGTGGCCCGCCTGACGTCCGCCATGGAGACTCTCCAGAAGGAAAACGAGAAGCTCCGCGCAGACCTGGCCAGTCTACGTGAGCCTGCCTCTCGCGCGGCGCCCCAGACGCAGCGCCCAAGCCAGCCCGTGCCGGTGGAGAACCAGGTTCTGAACCTGGTCCGGCAGGAGCTGGCTGCCTTCCAGCACCGGTTCTCCGTGCTGGAGGGCATCGTCCTGCGCCCCCCCCTAGGGGCAAACAAGACGGCGGCGAGGCCGGCAACGGTCTCGTACGCGGCGGCCACAGCTGCCGCATCCAGGCCGGGGCCGTCCAGCCAGCCTTCGGGCGGGGCTGCAGCTGCCCCTCCTCCCCCTGAAAAGCCGGCTCCGGCAAAACCGGTACCGGCTGAACCGGCTCCGGCTAAGCCGGCAACGGGAAAGAGAGGCAAGGCGAAGACAAAAAAGGGCAAAGCGGCAGCACAGGTGGTGGCTGCGCCAGCCCCAGTGCCTGCGGCGAATGTGCCAGCGCCAGCGGCAAGCCAGCTGCCGCCGCCGCCACCGCCCCCTCAGCTCCCTACACCTCCCACGGCTGAAGCCGGTTGGCAGGTGGTCGGGGACAAAAATAAGGGGAAGAAGGCAGCCAAAAAGGCCAAAGAGCAGGAGCGGCAGCGCCAGTTCAGGGCGCGCAAGATGGCGGCTAGGCTCCGCGCCCCGAAGACCGCAGCTGTAGTGATTACACTACAGCCGGACGCGGAAAAGAAGGGCGTTACCTACCGCGATCTGCTCGCGAAGGCGAAAGAGGCGGTGGATCTCGGGGAGCTCGGGATCACCGGGGGCCTCCGGCTCAAAGTCACCCAGACGGGGGCCCGTATGCTGGAGATCCCCGGGGAATCCAGTGGCGCGACCGCGGACGCTCTGGCTGCGAAGCTCAGAGCGTCCCTGGACGCGGACGAGGCCCGAGTGTCCAGGCCCGTCAGATGCGCAGACCTGCGCATCATGGGTCTGGACGACTCGGTATCGGAGAAGGAGTTAGTGGCCGCCGTCGCCAGGTCCGGGGGGTGCACTACTGACCAGGTCAGGTCAGGCGCCATACGCCCGGACCAACAGGGTATGCATGCCGCCACGGTGTGCTGCCCTGTTACGGCGGCCAAAACCATAGTGGAGGGCCGAAGGCTTCTGGTGGGCTGGGTCTCAGCGCAGGTTAAGCTGCTGGAGCCCAGACCTCTGAGGTGCTACCGCTGTCTCGTGGGGCACCACGTATCTGTGAAATGCGCCTCGGAGGTTGACCGCAGTGGCCTTTGCTTCCGCTGCTGTCAGCCCGGACACATATCGGCGACCTGCTGCGCCACGCCGCACTGTGATGCATGTGCGGCGACCGGCAAGCCAGCCGATCACCGGGCCGGAAGCAAGGCCTGCGTGCCACCCGCCAAGGCCAAGGCCGCGGGTAGGGGAGGGCCCTCCGCCGCCACCGCCTCTGTGGCCACCGCCGCAGTCGCGACTGCCGCCGCCGCCGCCGCCGCTGTCACTGTCGCTGCCGCCGCCGCCGCGACACCGACGCCCGCAGAGAGGCGCCCCGTGGAGGAAGCTGAAATGGAATGCCTATAACGGCCCCATTAAGCTTCCTCCAGGCGAATATCAACCACTGCGCCTGCGCTCAGGATCTGTTGCTCCAGAGCATGGCGCAGTGGTCGATCAACATCGCTGTGGTCGCTGAGCCGTATTTTGTCTGGCCTAGGGAGGACTGGGTGGCGGACCTTAACGGCTCAGTGGCCATCATTTCTTCAGCCGCCGCCGGTACCCCGACCCTTGAAGGTGTCAGGAGGGGTCAGGGGTGCGTAGCAGCACGGTTCGGGGAGTTCGTCGTTGTGGGGGTGTACTTCTCCCCGAACCGATCTCTCGCCGAGTTTCACAACTCTCTTGCAGAGCTGAGAGCAGTCGTCGTCGGAAGTAATCCCCTCCCCGTACTTGTCCTCGGGGACTTCAATGCCAAGAACTTGGCTTGGGGTTCTCGTCGTACAGATGTGCGGGGTAGGATGGTGGAAGACTGGGCTCTGGAGACAGGCCTGGTCGTCCTAAATCGGGGTTCTGTCCCCACGTGTGTGCGGATGCGGGGCGAGTCGGTGGTGGACATTTCGTTCGCTAGCCCCGCTCTGTCGCCGCGTGCCATTGACTGGCGTGTCATGGAGGGGGTGGAGACCTACTCCGACCACCGGTACATCCGGTTTGACGTCTCCACCCAGCCCTCGAGCGCGCCAGTCCAACAGGCCCCGAGTGGTCCGCGTTGGGCGCTGAAGCAGCTGGACCGGGAGCTCCTCCTGGAAGCCTCGATCGTGCAGGCCTGGGTGTCATAACCGGACAGGCCTGCCGACGTCAATGATGAGGCAGGGTGGTTCCAGGAGGCCATGTCCGAGATATGTGACGTGGCAATGCCCCGCGTCCGGCCAGGAAGCGCCCGGCGTCAGGTGTATTGGTGGTCGCGTGAGCTGACGTCTCTGCGCGAGGCGTGTGTCGCCGCGCGGCACCTGTACGCCAGGCATCGCAGGCTCCGCATTCGTCCACCGAATGCGGCAGCCATTGAGGCGGAGCTGTACGAGGGATACAGAGCGGCAAAGACCGCCCTCCGGGAGGCTGTCCTGCGGGCCCGGGATCGGGCCCGTGAGGAGATGCTGGAGACTCTCGATAGAGATCCGTGGGGGCGCCCTTACAAGATCGTGCGGGATAAACTCCGCACCTGGGCCCCCCCGCTGACGCAGAGTCTCCGGCCTCAGCTCGTGGAGGATGTGGTGAGCGCTCTGTTCCCTGCGCGCGGGGAACATCCGCCCCCGCCTATGGCTCCGACACCTGCGGTGCCGGAAGCGGACCACCAGGACGACGACGACGACATCCCGGAAGGGACCGGGGTAGACCTGAGAGTGGCGGTACGTAGGCTCAAGGCCAGGAATACCGCCCCAGGACCCGATGGCTTGCCTGGCAAAGCCTGGGTCCTGGCCTCGGAGGCTCTCGGGCCCCGACTGGAGGGGCTCCTAAGCGCATGCTTGGAGAGAGGCCAATTCCCGCTTCGTTGGAAGACGGGAAAGCTGGTCCTCATTCGGAAGCCGGGGCGCCCTGCGGACTCTCCGTCCGCATACCGGCCCGTGGTGCTGCTCGACGAGGTGGGCAAGCTCTTTGAAAGAGTAATTGCAAACCGCCTCGCCGAGCACCTTGCGGGGACGGGGCCGGATCTTGCGGAACACCAGTTTGGTTTCCGCAAGAGGCGCTCTACGGTGGACGCCATCATGCGCGTGAGAGCCCTCACGACGGGGGATGCAGTGGCCAGGGGGGGGGGGGTTGTCTTGGCGGTGTCTCTCGACATCGCCAACGCCTTCAACTCCATGCCCTGGAGCTGCATTAGGGAGGCACTCCGGTATCACCGGGTGCCGACCTATCTCCGTCGTATAGTCGGGGACTATCTGACGGACAGGGCCGTCATCTACCCCGGTCGAAACGGAGAGTGGAACCGGCGAGAGATGTCGTGCGGTGTCCCACAGGGTTCGGTTCTGGGGCCGCCCCTGTGGAACATCGGTTACGACTGGGTGCTGCGCGCCGACCTCCCTACCGGCGTCAGCGTAGTTTGCTACGCTGACGACACGCTGGTACTGGCACAAGGGGGGTCGTACGAGGCGGCGGCGGAAACTATGACATACGGGGTTGCGATAGTCGTTGAGAGGATCCGGCAACTGGGTCTCGAGGTGGCTCTGCACAAGTCCGAGGCCATGCACTTCCATGGTCCTCGGAACAGGCCACCACCGGGATCCTCAGTGATGGTAGGAGGGGTATCCATCGGCATCGAGTCGACGTTGAAGTACCTAGGACTCGTCCTCGACGGCCGATGGAACTTCGTTGAGCACTTCCGACGTTTGGCTCCCAAACTGGAACGGACCGGGGCTGCCTTCAGGCGGCTCCTGCCGAACCTGGGGGGGCCAAACGCCTCCTGCCGGAGGCTCTACGCGGGGATCGTGAGGTCCATGGCCCTTTACGGGGCCCCGGTGTGGGCGCGTGGTTTGGCGCGGCTTGCCGTCCACCACCTAAACGCGCTCCAAAGGGTGGTTGCCGTAAAGATGGTTCGCGGCTACCGCACGATCACCCGCGAGGCGGCGAGCCTCCTTGCCGGATTGCCGCCATGGGATCTGGAGGCGATAGTCCTCGCGCGCCTGCACGAATGGCGCGCGGCAGCACTATGCCGGGGGGAAACCCCGCTGCCGCGGCAAGTTGTCGCGCAGCGGACAGACTTCCGGCATGATCTCATGGCGACATGGAGAGAGCGACTGTCGCAACCCCGTGCTGGGCACGCCACTATAGCGGCGATAAGACCCCTCTTTGAGGAGTGGCTTGAGAGACGCCACGGCGTCCTCACCTTCCGCCTGACGCAGGTCCTCACCGGACACGGTGTGTTCGTGAGGTTCCTGCACCGAATCGGGCGGGAGGAAACGCCCGGGTGCTCCCACTGCGAGGATCGACCGGAGGACACGGTGGAGCATACCGTGGAGGTGTGCTCTGCTTGGGCGGAGCACCGCCGTGTCCTCGTAGCGGCGATAGGCGGCGGCGACCTCTCGCGTCCGGCTTTGGTCGAAGCCATGGTCCGGAGCGAGACGGAATGGGATGCCGTCACCACCTTCTGCGAAGCAGTGATGCTAGCGAAGGAGGTGGCGGAGCGGGAGAAGGAAAGAGCAACAGCTTTCCTTCCCGGCCGCCGCGGGAGACGCCCCGGGCGTCGGGGGCTACGTCGTGGCCCCCGACCACCGTAGGCGCGGGCCTGTGGACGGCGAGCAATGGGTAGCTCGCCGTCCGTCCGTCTAACGACGACAGGCCGTGTCGACGGCGCGTTTTGTTCCACGCGCGCCTCAAAGAGCTGTCAGCAGCGTGAAGGGGCCCGCAAGGGCCGACGCCTGCCGGGGCTGCGGGCTGTTCGAAAGAGATACCGCGGCTCCGGAACGTAAGGGCACTGAAGGAACACGGATGGTTTTTAGTCAGTAAAAGTCTGACACTCCCTTCCGCTCCACCCACAGCGAAAGGCGTCATTAGATGATTTTCCATCCGCAAAAAAAAAAAAAAAAAAAAAAAAAAAAAAAAAAAAAAAAAAAAAAGGCCAAAGTTAATATATTAATTCCCTAAATTATTGTTCAAGCGACTCTTTAGGCTTTAAATCATAAATTGCTCTTATGGCCCTCTTCTGTAAAACAAATATAATTTCAGTGTCAGCTACGTGTCCCTATAGCAAAATACCATACGACATTATGCTATGGAAATAGCTAAAGTAAACTAGTCTAGCTGTTTCAATACTGGTAAGACTTCTGATATTTTTTACAGCATATGCTGCAGAACTAAGTCTGCTTGCTAGTTTTGATATACGGGGGCTCAATTGAAGCTTCACGTCTAGTGTAATTCCAAGATAAATGGTGGTATCTACAAGACTCAGTTTTTCCGCATTTAAAATTACATTAGAATTTCGTACATTACGTTTCAGTTCCATTTAAATGCAAATAATTAACATTGAACCAATTTACTAATTTAGATATAGAATTATTTACTTCGCCATCTCTTAGTTATTGTTGACTTAACTTGAAAATTAAAGAAGTGGCATCTGCAAATAATACTATATCATGGTTATCCCCTACTATGTAAGGTAAGTAATTAATGTATACAAGAAACAGAAAGGGGCCGAGAATTGAGCCTTGAGGCACGCCCATTTGTAGCATCGACCCGGAAGAGCTCATTCTGTTAATGACAACTTTTTGCGTTCTCTTATATAAATATGAAATAATTAATTTAAGAGATTCTTACACCGTAGTGTTGAAGTTTTCTGATTAATGTTTCATGGTGAACACAATCAAAGGCCTTGGATAGGTGACAGAATATACCCAAAGCATCCTGTGAATTCTTCCATGCATTAAAGATACATTTAATCAGCTCAACACCGTCACCAGTTGTCGAGCGACCCCTTGTGAAACCAAATTGATTTTTATGAAGTAAATTATTTATATTACAGAACTTTAACATTTGATCAAGATTTATTAAAACCTCTTCCGTGAGCTAAATAATGTCGCTTGGTCAAGGTAAGTATTGGATTTATTTTCAAATAGATGAAGTTACACTCTTTGGTTAAATGTATAATATTAGATATATATCTATGAAATTGCTGTTTTTTAAGAAATAAGACAATGTTATTTTATCTATTTATTTTATTTCTATTAATCAAAGTAATCACCCATGCAAACGATTCATCTTTGACAACGCAGTGGCAGTTTATTGAAACCATTCTTGGAGAAATCAGCCGGACGGGAGGCAACAAATTCTTCAAAGGCATTTTCCACTGCCCCTTTGGTATTGAAATATGGTGTGATCAACCACACCGGCGCTTGACCACCAAACAGTGACCATCACTTTTCTAGGTGTAAATTGTCATTTAGCGAATTGTTAAGGTGCTGAACTAGGATCAGCCAACTTTCTGAGCACTTGAAATTGTTAAACAGAATCCATTTTCGTCGCAGGTAACTGTACGGTTCAAAATTCCTTCCTTCGTGTACCTGTGGAGCAGTGAATGGAACGTTTCGACGTATACTTCACGCTCGCGATCATTGAGTTCGTGGGGCAACCATTTAGAAGTCGCTAGTGACACCGTAAACATCGAGCTCGTAAATAAAAATAGCAAATGAATAGTCTTATCGTGATAGTAACCGGATATTTGTTATGATTCAGTATATTTGGTGCTAATATATACTATATAATGTTATCAGTACAAAAACTGTAAGATTAATTGCATAATCAAACATTTTAAAGTGAAGTGTAAAAACTAGTGAACTAATAAAAACTTAGTGATTGTAACAATTGAATAGTGTCGTGAGTTTATTTTTTACCTTATTTATACCTTATCACTCATATTTATCAATATTTAATTGCACAAATCAAAAATTTCATAAAATATTTTTATGTAAGACCGTTAACCGACTCGAAAATTTGAAAAAATCTACATGAAAAATACATCATAACATTAATCATAACAGTGCCATCTAGTAAAGTGTAGTCGATTTGCACATAATATTCAATAACATGGCATCTAAATTCAATGTGAAAACTACTAATAGCGGCCACAAGATGCCGGTAGTAGTAACATGTTATAAATGCAAAAACTTAGTTGATATAAAGAAAACTGCAATATGTTCATTATGTAAAAATAGGTATGATTTAGACTGTGATGGCTACCCGGAAAAAAACTACCGCCTAATGGATCAAGAAAGAAAAAAGAAATGGCGATGCAAAACATGTATAAAAAATAAAAAAGACGTGAATAGCGATATAACTAATATCACAGTGAGAAAAAAACAAAATCTCCCTGGACAATGTACATCCCTAGAAGAATCATGTAATACAGAGAAATTGCAATGTATTGAATCTTTGCAGGTATCGGAGAATACGTCTTACACATTAGACTCGCACGTACTCACGGACTATAATATATCTGATGTATCATTTTCAACGCCTAGTAAATTGTCAAAGAGTGTAGACGGCACAATGTCTGAGACAACGTCAATCTCAGAAATGAAATCTACAATATCTCAGTTAACCTGTAACCTTCGTAGTACTCAAAATGAGTTAGAAAACATAATATTAGAAAATAACGATCTTCACAGACAGATAAATAAGTTAACCTCAGAAATTAAAATACTAAAATCGCTATGCTATTCTCCCACAAAAATTGACAGTCCTCAATCAGGCAATACAACTAAGAAGAAGAGACACCCTTTGCTACTTCATAGTCTATCTTCCGTGCCATCTTCACCGACAGTCACATCATATACCTATCCCCACCCTAATTCGACGATATCAAGCTTTCAACAAAAAATTACCAACTTGCAACAAGAATTAAAAGATGCAGAAAAAGAGATCGCATCTCTCAATAAAAAAATAACAAATCTGACACAAAATATTGACAATGAAACAAAGGATAAATGGAGCAAGACCTCAAAACCTATGATGAGACAGCAAAATAACAGCCATGAAAAAATAATTTACATCATCGGTTCTCAACAATGCGTTGGCCTATCCGCAGCTATATCACACTCAAGATCAGACACACAATATGAACATTATGGAGTTATTGGTGAAACGAAACCCTATGCACCAAGTAACGAAGTAATAAAAAATTGCCACAACATGGAACTAAAATCGCATGATAAGTTAGTCATATGTTTAGGAGAAAACGATCATAATATAAAACAAGTTTTGTCACAATTACAAGCTATAATAGTTACTTTTAGTAAAAATACAATAATTGTACTAAATGTTATTAAAAATAGGTACATAAATGTTAATAATTTAAACTATCGTATTAAAAATATTTGCGAAAGATATAAAAATTGTAAGTTTATAGATTGTAAAAAATATTCTAATCGCTTCGACATTTGTAAATCAATAAATTATGCTATTGACTATAGTGACTACGAAGAAAAATATTTAAATCCTAGTGAAATTAGTAAACGAATAGCGAGTAATAGGCCAAGTTTTAAATTAAGTAACACCATAAATAAACCAAAAAAAGGAACAATTCCCTTCTACTTTAAAAAAAAAACTGACGCGCACTCAAAACCTCCTGTTATTTATAAGAAAGGGACCATGCCCTATTATTTTCCGGTAATAAAAAAGAACGATAAATTTTTTCGACCATAAAAATTTAATTTACACTCGTCATTTTAGAATTTTTCACCAAAACATTGCTAGTGTTTTACCAAAGCAAGATTTAATAGACGTAACTATAGAGGAGTTAAGAGCTAAAAATAATGACCCGGATGTAATATGTCTTTCCGAAACTTTCATAAAAAAAGGTTTTGAGAGTTATGTAAGAATAAGTGGGTATGACATGGCCGCCAACTTCTGCAGAGAAAAACAAAGAGGTGGAACATGTATTTTAGTTAAAAAGGGTATAATGTTCAATGAATTATCGTTCATAAAAAATTATGCTACCCAGAATACGTTCGAGGCATGCGGCATAGAAATCATACATATTAAATTAATTACTATTTGTCTCTACAGAACTCCCCAATCCGACCCAACACAGTTCTTATTTAAGTTGAACACACTTTTGCATGACTTAACTGTAAAATACAAATCTAAAGTACATATAGTTATAGCTGGAGATTTTAATATAAACACATTAAAAAAAGGCAAAATCACAAACTATTTACAAGATTTGTCTTATAATTATAACTTGAAAATACATTTCAATGTTCCTACACGTAGATCATCTTGTATCGATCATATATTAAGTAACATTCAAAATGCGACTGCAACATTGCTACCACTGCATCTTTCCGATCATGACACAGCACAGTTGTTAAGCTTTCCTATAAAATGTGAGCCACAAAAACATGCTATATATTATGTTTACAAGAGAGACTATAACTTAGATAACATTAGGAAGTTTAAAGAATGCCTAAATAATTTGTCATGGTCGGAGGCATACATGGAAAATGATGCTAACACAGCATTCAGCCGATTTCATGAATTATTTTGCCTTTTCTACTATCTTTGTTTTCCAAAACAACGAATCAAAATAAATTTACAAAATAAAAAACAAAATTGGATGAGCAAAGGCCTCAAAATAAGTTGTAAAGCAAAACGAATGTTAAGATTTAAATATTATAAAAATAAAAGTAATGCCAACAGAATACGTTACCTATCATATTCTAAGCTCTTAAAAAATGTGTGTTTAACTTAAAAAAGAATGCTAATATTAAGTTTATAAATAAAAATGATAACAAATGTAAAGCAACATGGACCATTATCAAAAACGAAATATGTAACCCATATGACAAGAAAAATATAGAAAAAATTATAACTAATAATAAAGTTCTTACGAATCCTGTAGATATAGCTTCTGCTTTTAACAATCATTTTATTGATTTGACCTGTGAATCAACAACACACACTACAGCGAAAAATGTAACTATTAACAGCGCGAATATCAACTCTATGTTTCTTAGACCTATGTCTGAAAATGAGGTTACAAGGGAAATAATGCTATTAAAAAATACTAGCTCTGAAGGCTACGATGACATAAACACAAAAATAATTAAAAAATGTATAATGGAATTAATTGAAATCTTGACATATTTAATTAATTTTTCATTTTCTTGTGGAATCTTTCCAGATGCATTAAAACTATCAATAGTTAAGCCACTGTTTAAAAAAGGAGAGAAATGTGATATTAATAATTATCGACCTATAACCCTAATATCCGTTATATCAAAAATATATGAAAAATGCATGTATAAAAGACTTCTTGAATTTTGTAATAAATATCACATTATATCAAACGAACAGTACGGCTTTCAAAAAGATAAATCTACAACTTTGGCAATTTTTTCACTCATAAAAATAGTACTTTCAAATATCAATAATAATAATTTTACCACGGGACTATTTTTTGACCTATCTAAAGCCTTTGACCTAGTTTCACATGACCTATTGTTACAGAAATTGGAAAAAATTGGAATTAGAGGACCACCACTTCAATGGATTACATCATATCTTTATAATAGGCAACAATGTGTTATTGTTACTAAAGCAGATGAAAATGGGGACATAATAACGTACTCGTCCGAATACCGAAACAATAAATATGGCGTTCCACAGGGAAGTGTTCTCGGTCCAATTCTGTTTTTATTGTACTTAAATGACATTGTCAATATGACGAAGCATAAATGTATTCTATTTGCTGATGACATTTCCATAATCGTGACTTCCAATAAAAAAATTAATAATATGAGTGACCACGAAGCTGACATGAATAATACAATAGATACTTTAATAAATTGGGTTGACATACATAATTTAAAAATTAATTTAGACAAATCTTTATATATACAATTTAATAAATGCACTAATAATAAACATAATCTTAAACTTAACATTCCAAAAATAAAAGCAGCTAGTCATACAAAATTTTTAGGTTTAATTATAGATGACGATATAAATTGGAAACCACATGTAAATGATGTCTCTATCAAAATAAATAAATTCGTGTATGCACTTAAACAAATAAAAAACATAACAAACATAAAAACCGCTGTCATGTCCTACCATGCATACGTAGAATCTTTACTGCGGTATGGTCTTATAATGTGGGGCAACAGCACTGATCAAAATAAAGCATTTGTCGCGCAAAAAAAATGCATTAGAGCTATATGTGGGCTAAAACCGAATGAATCGTGTCGACCAGTGTTTAAAAAACTTGGCTTATTACCACTACCATCACTTTACATCTATGAAGTATGTATGTTTGTACAGAAGCACAAAACGTTGTTTACAACGATAGATGATGTAAATCCCCGCAGTCATCGAGATCCATATAGACTTATACTAAACGATAATCCTAGAATAAGAAAATATAATAAAAGTTGTTTATTTATGTGTGTTCAGTTATATAATAAGATACCTAATTACTTAAAAATATTAAATACAAGATCATTTAAATTAAAACTATATCAGTGGCTAAATAATTGTAATTTCTATAGTGTTAAGGATTTTTGTAGCCAAAAATATTAATGTAAAAAAAAAAAAAATTGCATGCTATGAATAACCGTAGCAAAACATGCTGATCTGAAAAGTTTTGTAAAATCTATTATATACCATGTTTTATGCAAATAAAATATTATTA